TCCCTGACCCTCAGCCAGATGCAATCAGAATGGTGTCCTGGGCCCAGAATCTTAACAGTGGGGGGGAAAGAGGCAGGAAGGTGGAGAGTTTGGGACCAGCTTGGGCTGTATATCAAATATATAAAGGGGTTTCAAGCTGGTTCCACAAGTAAAAAGCCCAGTCACCTGGGTTCCATCCCCAGAACTTTCTTGTGGTAGAAGAGAAATGAACCCCCCCCCCCATTTGTCACCCTTCACACATGGAACATGCATGAAGACCCCCCATAAATACTTTTAAACTGAAAGAGAGGAGGGTGGGCGTGGCTAGCCTGGGTAGAAGCACCCAGTGAGTGAGCCAGGGCCAGGGGCTTGGCTGCAGTTCTGGGCCGGGGGGCCTGTATCCTGGCGCCCTCCTCCCCGACGTGGGGCCACACTTTCGCCGAGGAGTTGGGCTCTCCGTTGTCCCACTTGGCACTGCTCCCCTCTCTAGGGCACCACCGATTCACTGGGTCAGCATCCTGGGCCTCGTTCCCCTGCCGAAGCTGTGGCCGGTCACCCCCAGGCAGCTGAAATGGAAACCCTGAAACAGAGCTCCGGTTTCTTTCCAGGAAATGGCAGCTGAGGGCAGCACAGAGGGGCCTGTTGCTCCCAGACAATGCTCCTCAGCGCAGAGCCATGGGACGGTTGGGACTTCGCAGCTGGGTCAAGTATCTGGGATACTCCTGGGTTACGTCTTCCTAACTCAGGCATTTGTACCCCGCACCCTGCCAAGACAGCCATACTTAGACCCCAGTGTTTGTTTGTTTGTTTTGTTTTTTGGAGACAAGGTTTTTCTGTGTAGCCCTGGCTGCTCTGGACCTAACTCTGTAGACCAGGCTGGCCTCAAACTCATTGAGATCTGCTTGCCCCTCCCTTCCAAATGTTGGGATTTAAGGTGTGCACTACCAAGCTGGTCTGTAATTTTAAAATTTCGTAGCCCAGGCTGGCCTCAAACTCACTATGTGGCTGAGATTAACCCTGAACTTCTGATCCTCCTGCTCCAACCCCAAGTTTTGGGTGTGCGTAACTCCCTGGTTTATGCAGTGCAGAGGACCGAACTTTATACATGCTAGGGCAAGAACTTTACTGACCCAGCTTGTTTATTTTTTATTTTTATTACCTTTTAGAGTGTGTGTGTGTGTGTGTGAGAGAGAGAGAGAGAGAGAGAGAGGGAGAGGGAGAGGGAGAGGGAGAGAGAGAGTTCTGCCTTTCTACCATGTGGGTCCTGGGATCCAACTCAGGTCATCAGGTTTGGTGGCAGTTTTCTATACCTGCTGGGCCATTTTGCCTACCTGGAACTCCAAGTCTTCCTTCCTCCTCCGCCTCTTTTGAGCCGGAATTACTGCATGCTGACCACACCTGCTACCCATAGCCCATTGTACAGGTAGTAATCCCAGGACTGTCACCTGCTACCCATAGCCCATTGTACAGGTAGTAACCCCAGGACTGTCACCTGGCTTCACGTCCCAAGGCCTTTGGCGCGAGACTGGGTTTAGGCCTCAGGCTGCACAAGATCTCACTTCGTGGCTTCCACCACTGGCTGTGCTGTGGCCAGAGGCCAGCGTTGATCACCATGTTACAGCTTTCCCAAGTCCCCCACCCCCACCCCACAACCAGTTTTCTGTCCCAGAGCAGGGCTGAGTCACAGAGGGCCAGCTCAGCCTTTGGCCTCCTCCCCTCTTCCTGCTACCGTTCTCCCCTCCTCCTCCCCCTTCCGGTCCCCCCAGTCTCTCCCCGGCTGGAACTGGCTGAATGCCGGCTCGGTTCCTTTCTGCCAGCTCCCTGCTCTCTTTTGTTAGCTGAAGCAAGCAGGCGCTGTCCCTTGGGGTCAGGGTCTTGGAAATATTGTTTTAGGGCAGGGCCACTGGGCCGGGAGGTAGGGAAGGGCTAGCCCCGGGCCGCGTCAGCGTAGCCACTGCGCTGTGACTGATGGAAACCATGAAACTGAGTTTATCTTTCTAGCTCCTGCCTCTATACATGTATTCTTTCTAAAAAAAAAAAAAAGCACTACACTTTATCCTTGTGTATGGCCACATGTATGTTGCATGCACATGTGGAGGACAGTTTGCAAGAGTTGGTCTCTCTGACCACGTGGGGCCTGGGGATTGAACTCCGGTCCTTAAGCTTGGCAGCAGGCACCCTTACCTTCTGAACCCTCTCACTGATCCATTATTTCCTTTCCTTCTCTTTCTCCCCTTCTTCCTTTCCCCTCTCTGTTTTTCCCTCCGTCCTCCCTCCCTCCCTTCCATTCCGTGAGTGTGTGTGTGTGTGTGTGTGTGAGTGTGTGAGTGTGTGTGTGTGAGTGTGTGTGTGTGTGTGTGTAGTCCCAGTGCACATACAAGCACCTGTGTGTTGAGGTCAGGGGTCAACTCCATATGTTGTTTCTCTGATGCTACCTTCTTTGTTTCTTGAGACAGGCCTGGGGTCACCAAGAAGGCTAAGTTGGCGGCTAGGGAATCCACCCGTCTCTGCCTTCCCAGCACTGAAGTTAAATGCATGTATCTCTGTCTTAGTCACTGTCCTATTCCTGTGAAGAGACACTGTGACCAGGATGACTCCTATAAAAGAAAACATTTAACTAGGGGCTTGCTTGCAGTTTCAGAGGTTTGATCATGTTATCGTCATGGTGGGAAGCATGGCGGCAGGCAGGCCTGGTACTGGTACATAGACAGAGGGGGGGAGGGAGATGGGGGAGGTAGAGGGAGAGGGGGGGGGAGGCCTTGGTGTGGGCTTTTGAAACCTCAAAGCCCACCCCACAGAGACACACCTCCTCTAACAAGGCCACACCTCCTAATCCTTCTCAAATAGTGCAACTCCCTGGTGAGTAAGCATTTACACACATGAGCCTATGGGGGCCGTTCTTGTTTACACACCTGTGGTCATCGTGCCCGCCTGGGGATTGAACTCAGGTCCTCATGCTTGTATCCCAAGCACTGTACCAACTGGGCCGTTTCTCCAGCCCCCTTTTCTTTGCTAAGATAGGCTCTCACTACATAACCCAGGCTGGCCTAAAGCTCCATCCTCCTGCCTCCACCTCCATGTGCTGTGATAACAGGTGTGTGTCCCCTCACACCCAGCTGTTTCTGAACTATCCTCAGCTGTGAGAATTCTACCCGTAGGATGCGGCCCGCTGCTTACTCAGCAGACATGGGAATAGCCAGCCACATCTGTGCAAGGTGTGGTGTACAGTAGATTCAGCGCCACACATAGTAGGCGCAGCGCGGCACGCGGGTTCCTCACGGCACACAGTAGGTTGTTGGGATCATCAAGAATGCCAGGGAAGCTGAGGGAGCCTCCTTTGAGTAGATAGTTGCGGGGACCTGGGGCCTGGAAGGCCTTCATTCTTGCAGCGTGGCTGTTGGGGTGCCCTCACATGGGGTTTCCAATCATGAGATTTGGATCAAACACTCTGACAGGTGGATTCTCGGAGAGGAGAGATGGAGGTCTGATTTGAGGTTGCCCAAGGCTCTCGGGAGGCCAGAGTGGGAACAGAGAAGGGCAGCAGACTCTCCTAGACTCACCATATATTTCTGGGGCCCGTGGTCCCAAGAGGCCGCCTGGAGGACTGACACTTGTTGGGCCAACTGTCCTCTGGGTGAGGTGTATCTTGTGAAGAAAAATTTCAAGAGCCTATTTTGAGGATGTAGGCCCGTGATTTAGTTATTCAGAGCTTGAGGCAGGAGGATGATAAGCTCAAGGCCAGCGTGAGCAACTTAGACTCTATCTCAAATAAAAAGCGGGCAGGGGCTATAACTCCACAATGAAACACTTTGCTAGAATCCCTCCCACACACTCCAGTGAGGGGCTGGGGTGTGGCTCAGTGGTAGAGCACCTGCCTAGAATCCCCCAGTGAGGGGCTGGGGTGTGGCTCAGTGGTAGAGCACCTGCCTAGAATCCCCCAGTGAGGGGCTGGGGTGTGGCTCAGTGGTAGAGCACCTGCCTAGAATCCCCCAGTGAGGGGCTGGGGTGTGGCTCAGTGGTAGAGCACCTGCCTAGAATCCCCCAGTGAGGGGCTGGGGTGTGGCTCAGTGGTAGAGTGCTTGTCTAGAATCCCCCAGTGAGGGGCTGGGGTGTGGCTCAGTGGTAGAACACTTGAGCAGCCTGTGAATGACCATGGGTTAATGCCTACTTAACAAAACAACAAGCAAACAACTAGACACCCACTGGCTGTTGAACCCATGACTGAGAGAGCATTTCCGGGAAGAGAACGTCGTATGGATTCCTGGATTAGTGCTCCCCAGTGTGTGTGTGTGTGTGTGTGTGTGTGTGTGTGTGTTTCCTTATCTCCCTTTCTTTGCCCCCCACCCCTGCTCCCCTGCTCTTTCTTGGCTTTTTTGAGACAGGGTCTTGCTATGTATCCCAGGGTGACTTCAGACTTGCAGCAATCCTCCTGCCTCAGGCTCCCAAGTGCTGGGATTGAAGGGGTGAACTGACAGCTCTTTTTTCTTCCTTTTAGATCTTTTTGGTCCGTGTGTGGGTGTAGATAGGTGTAGGACACACGGACACACGCGGCTGACGGAGGGAAGAACTCTGCTCTGCCTTCCGTGGGGGCTGGCTCATCAGCTGTCCCCTGCGGTCACAAGGTGATCTCTGCGGCTTCTAGGTGCCACATCCAGGCAGCCCCAAAACAGAGGCCACATCTCTGTCTATGACCGCTCGGTGAAGCACACAGCACTCGGGAGACTGGGTTAGGGTTAGGAGATCCAGTCTAGGATGTACAGCGAGACCTGTGTCAGAGATAACAAATCAAAGGAGAGCCCTGAGTTCTAGGCCTGGATCTGACTAAACCAGGTGTGGTGCCTTGCATCGGTGTCTTATAATGGGTCTGAGGCCAGCCTGGGCTACATGGTGTCCTATCTCAAACAAAACAGAGAGAAGACATTGGCATCTTCTTTGTCAGTTTCAGGACCACTGGGGCCAGCCAAGTTCCCACATCCCAGCGAGGACGTCACGACTCTCTCCCTCTTGTGTTCTGCCCCCAGGTGACCAAGGATGGCAGAGAGGATGTGACCGTCGTCTGCCTTTGTCTGCCCTCCTCGTGGCACCGCCATGCAGAAGCCCAGTGGCTTGAAGCCCCCTGGCCGAGGGGGAAAGCACTCCAGCCCCGTGGGCAGGCCATCCATCGGGTCAGCTTCTGTGGTGGCATCAGCCAGTGGCTCCAAGGAAGGTATGTGGGGTCCAGAGTGAGAAGGCCTGCAGCATGGGGGCTTTCCTGGGGAGACAGGAGCAAATGTGTATCCCAGTCAGATAGCACGTCAGCCGCAGGCCAAAATAAGGGTTCCACCGAAGCCCACCGTGGTGAACCAGTGAATTTATTGGGGTTACTTAACAGCAGTGTGGGTAACTCAGAGAGGTGGCCGTGCTGCTTACAGGGCTCAGAAACTCGCTGCGTAGACCAGGCTGGCCTCAGACATTCAGTGATTCTCTTGCCTCTGCCTCTTAGGTGCTAAGAGTACCGGTTTGCACCACCATGCCCAGCTTACGTGGTGCGGGCGTGGGACCTAGGGCTTTGTACGTGACTGGAAAGCCAGCTGAGCCCCAGCCGCAGCTCCAACAGCAGAATTTTAAACCAGAAGGGATCTCTGAGTTTCTTTTGCTGTTGCTGTGGTAAAATACCCTGGCAGGACTTAAGGGAGAGGGTTGGGTTTTGGTTCACAGTTCAAGGAGTCCGTCACGGTGGGGAAATCTAGGTGACAGGAATTTGAAACCGTTGGTCACGTGTCGCCTGTAATCAAGAAACAGGTGCAGGCATGTTGCTGGATTCCCTCACCGCTCAGGGAAAATCCCACCCGCCAGTAACTCGAGTCTTCCTATAGCAGTTAGCAGAACTGAGGTAATCCCCCACAGGCATGCCCAGAGACCTGTCTCCCAGAGATTCTAGACTCTGTCAAACTGACAGCTAACATTCACTATCCTACAGAGTATACTGGAATTGGGAATAGTTTGGTTGGTTTTTGAGACAAGGTCTCAGTCTTACAGCTTAAGCTGGCCTCGAACTCACGTTTCTTCTTGCCTCACCCTCCAGTGCTGGGACTGTGGGTGAGAGTCACCACACCCAGCTGAAGCAGTGCTGGGACTGTGGGTGAGAGCCACCACACCCAGCTGAAGGTTCGTCTTTCTGTGTCTTTGCAGTGGAAATAGTGATTGTTTCTTCCTTTTCTCTTTGATGAGTGAGTACCCAGTGAGAAACATCCCCACACGCTCCCTACTTACTGTACACTCCACCCAGCGCTATAGGACTCCACCCATCTCATTGGCTTGTCCCAGAGGTGAACCTCAGCCCAGTTCCCCTCCAAGATGGCTGATTCCCTCATGCTCATTTGGAGGAATTCCAGAAGAAGCTAGGAGGGTGCATGCCTTTAACCCCAGTCAGTACTCAGGAGGCAGAGGCAAGTAGACCTCTGTGAGTTCAGGGCCATCCTGGTCTACAAAATGAGTTCCAGGACAGTCAAGGAGTCCATCATAGTGGGGAAATCTAAACAAAAACAAACAAGAAACTGGTGGAGAGAGAGAGAGAGAGAGAGAGAGAGAGAGAGAGAGAGAGAGAGAGAGAGAGAGAGAGAGAGCGCACAGTGGAAGAGACCCGGCAGGAATGGTGATGCAAAAGCTCTGGGGGTCAACATTAATTTGGCTTGTGCAGAATTAAGACCCATCTCAGGGCTGGGGAGATGACTTGGTTGGCAAAGTGTTTACTCCACAAGCATGAGGGCCGGAGTTTGGATCCCCAGCACCTATGAAAAACCAGGGCGTGGCAGTTCAACAAGAGGGTCCCTGGAGCTTGCTGGCCACCCAGCCTAGTAGCTGAATTGGCCAGGTCTGGGTTCAGACAGACAGAGAGACCCTGTCCCAAAGAATGAGACAGAAAGTAATAAGGGAAGTCACTCAGTGTGGTGGTTATTATTATTTTTTTTTGGAGGGGAGGTGAGTTCTGAGACAGGGTTTCTCTATGTAACAGTCCTGGCTGTCCTGGAACTCACTCTGTAGACCAGGCTGGCCTCAAACTCAAAGAGATCCGCCTGCCTCTGCCTTCCGAGTGTTGGCGTTAAAGGTGTGCGCCACCGCCGCCCGGCGTGGTGCTCAGTTTTAACTGTCAACTTGACACAACCTAGAATTACGTGGCAAGAGAGTCTTATGGGGGATTGTCTACATTGGGTTGGCCTGTGAATTAATCTGTCTGTTTCGGTTGTTTTGATCGTTATTCAACCTGGGAAGACCCAGTCTGAAAGTGGGCAGCGCTGGTCTCTGGTTTGGGGCCCTGGACTGAGAGTAGAGAAAACCAGCCGGGCATTAAGCAAGCAGGGATTCATCTGTCTCCGCTCTTGACTGTGGGTGTGATGGGACAAGCTGTTTAAGTTCCCGCCTTGACGTCACGGCGATGATGGACCATAACCTGGAACTGGGGAGCTAAAACGTCCTCCCTAAGCTGCTTTTTTTTTTTTTTTTTGGTTTTACGAGACAGGGTTTCTCTGCATTGTTTCGGAGGCTATCGGTCCAGCCCAGCCTCGAACTCACAGAGATCCGCCTGCCTCTGCCTCCCGAGTGCTGGGATTAAAGGCGTGTGCCACCACCGCCCGGCCCTAAGCTGCTTTTTGTCAGGGTATTTTATCACAGAAATAGGCACGTCACTGTGACACTCGATGCTGACCCCCGACCTCCTCTGCATGCATGCACACCGTGCCTGTGCACATGCAACATGAATATGGACACACATAAAGACACGTCTGTGGGAAGGAGTGGGAGTTAAGCTAGGGAGGTATCAGAGATGAAGGGCAAGGATTCAGGTGTCTTTGTAACATGGAAAGAGCTGCAAGGGTGTGGCCTAGGGAACCACTAAGTATATTAGCTCCACTGTGATCCTAGACCGTGGGGGCCGCCGGGAGGACCAAGCCAGAGAGCAAATGTACAGTCGTCCAGGCAAAGGATGCGTGCTCAGTGCCTGCCGTGGGGAGGCCACAGGGCCTCTGTCAGTACTCAGGAGTCACTTCTTGGGAGGAGCGCGAGGTGAGGGTGCTGAGTAACGGAAGGGCTGAAAAACTGCTTTGTTGGGCTAGGGAGCTCAGTCCCTGGGACCCATGTGTTATAAAGAGAGAAATGACCCTACAAGATGTCTTCCAAGAGCTGTGGCACACACCCCAGCCCCCCACCCTGGTGTGGGAACACAGCCAGCATCATCATACATACACGTAGCAACAAAGACAGAATTCTGGAAACTGGACAGATGGCTCAGTGGTTAAGAACCCCTGTTCTTGCTGTTCTTGCAGAGGACCCAGGCTCAGTTCCTAGCATTTGCTTGGTGGCTCACAACCGTCTGTAACTCCAGTTCCAGAGGATCTGATGCCCTCTTCTGGTCCTGCACAGGCATACACATGGTGCACATCCTTACTGCAACAAAACACACATCAGATAAAAGAAAATACTTAGAAAGTTAAGTACAAAGAGACAAGATTAGCCACAAGCTCCCAGTAAACTGAGCTTATTCCAGCGAGTGGCTGGGGAAGTGTACTGGCCAGCTTGGCCCTAGGCCAGGACATGACCTTCAGGGAGAAAGGCCCATTGTCTCTTCTGGGTTCTTTCTTCATTGGCCCTCCTCATCAAGTGAGGCCCCAGTTTCTTTTTTTTCCAAGTATTTTGGATTTAATCCACACATGCCAAGCCAGTGTTTCATCACTGAACCATGCCCCCAGACTCTTGCAGGGGTGGGGGGGACTTGTAGGCAGGGGCTCTACCACTGAGCCACACCCCCAGCCCCTTACTGGGGGATTCTAGGCAGGGGCTCTACCACTGAGCCATACCCCTAGCCCCTCACTGGGGGATTCTAGGCAGGTGCTGTACCACTGAGCCACACCCCCAGCCCCTCACTGGGGGATTCTAGGCAGGTGCTCTACCACTGAGCCACACCCCTAGCCCCTCACTGGGGGATTCTAGGCAGGTGCTGTACCACTGAGCCTCACCCCCAGCCCCTTACTGGGGGATTCTAGGCAGGGGCTCTATCACTGAGCCATACCCCTAGCCCCTCACTGGGGGATTCTAGGCAGGTGCTCTACCACTGAGCCACACCCCCAGCCCCTTACTGGGGAATTCTAGGCAGGTGCTCTACCACTGAGCCACACCCCTAGCCCCTCACTGGGGGATTCTAGGCAGGTGCTGTACCACTGAGCCTCACCCCCAGCCCCTTACTGGGGGATTCTAGGCAGGTGCTCTACCACTGAGCCACACCCCTAGCCCCTCACTGGGGGATTCTAGGCAGGTGCTGTACCACTGAGCCACACCCCCAGCCCCTTACTGGGGGATTCTAGGCAGGTGCTCTACCACTGAGCCACACCCCTAGCCCCTCACTGGGGGATTCTAGGCAGGTGCTGTACCACTGAGCCTCAGCCCAGCCCCTCACTGGGGGATTCTAGGCAGGTGCTCTACCACTGAGCCAAGCCCCCAGCCCCTCACTGGGGAATTCTAGGCAGATGCTCTACCACTGAGCCACACCCCAAGTCTCTCACTGAGGTATTTTAGACAAAGACTCTACCATGCTTCAGGGTATCAGTGCCAAGAACCTCGGTAACAAGTGCTAGGGAAAACAACTCCATTGCTGCTGGCCCTTGAGGTTCCCAGCCACCCATGGGACTGGCCATCTTCTCTCTAAAGTAATGGAGGTGTTAGGCGTGATGGTACGTATCTATAATCCTAGCACTCAGGCTGAAGCAGAAGGATTGTGAAATGAGGGCTAGCCTTAGCTAAATAAGAGACCCCCCAACCCCCGACTCAAAAGTAAATAATCATTGTCTGGAAATGTAGCTTAGTTGGTAGGGTATTTACCCAGCATGCACAAGGCTCTGGGTTCCGTTCCCATCACTACGTAAGGTGATGCTCATCTGTCATCCCAGCCTGTGGGAAATAGGGAAGGAGTAAGAGTTGAAGGTTATGCTTGAGGCTGGCTCAGAACATAGGAGACCCTGTCTCAAAGCAGATACGTCAGTCAATAACACAAAGCGTCGAGGAGACTGGGACTCTGCGGGGGACACCCAGGACGACTTGAGAGAGCCCTGTGTGAGTTGTCATCTGACTTGGGAAGCAAGACTGTGGCTCCCTCCCAAGGCGTGATGTCAGCTTTGGGCAGAGAGGGTCTGGCACGGGAAACAGTCTGGATGGGTGCCATGTGTAGCAGAGGAGGTC